TGTAATAAAGTTAGGTTAGAAAATAAGCGATTCATAAGAAAACTTATTCCGTGGAAAAGTCATGTTGACTGAGGTCACCTGAGCCCCAAACCTCCTCTCTCCCTAAATTCTGGATCTCGCATCTGCTCGTTTGCCTTAAAAAATACTAAACTACGGATTCTTAACCTAAGTAAGTTAGTTAGTTCTAGTAACATTTTTAAAGTTGTTAATACCTACTTTAGATAGAGAACGTGTACAATTGCTCGTATGAAATTTGCAGACCGATGTTCGTCTATTATTTAACTGTTAAGTGTGTAAATAAGAATCCTTAAAAGGGAACCATTTGTTCCCTTTTAAGGATACTTATTTATGTTAACCGTAAATATGCAACAAGCTTAGAGTAAATGGATGTTTTTTAAACGAGAAATATTTTCTCATTTAATAGTTCTATCAGATTCTTATACATAGACCCATATCACATAATATAATGATAATAACTTTTCATTTGGAAGTATGTTGCACTAGGTATATGTATTTTACTATACTAGAAGATAAAATATATTGTCACTGTGCGATAAGATGGCAATTGGATTGACCACATAATAACTATCACTTTATTCTTAGCATTTTTTCATCCCTATAGAAGAAATTTATCTAAGTTACCTTAATAACATGTTAATTGATCATGACAAATGTTTTGTACTTTCCAAATGCATTATAATTTATAACATAAATTGGTGAGCAACAATATTCAAGTGATCGACTCATAATCGGTAAAACATCAATTACTGAGTAATTTCGTAGGCTATATGTAGTCTTTATCATCAGTTTGACTTCAATAAATTGATGCTTTCTGTCCTTCAAAAGTTACTTTTTTATACGTTACTTTTTTTTAAGAGTTCTTTCGATTTCTACAGGATCCCATTAGTCAGGATACGAATAATTATATAAAATTCATAAAAATTATAAAAAAATAAGACACAACGAAGAGTGATGTGAGTGTTATACTAAACCTTTTCTTATTAACATCAGGTCTTTTATTCATTAGACACATGCACATTGCTTTATAAATCGTCGAAGCAAGGGAATACGAAAACGATTTTGAGGGTGAAAGTTAATGTAATGTATGGCCAATGAATGCTTGATGACAAGTCGATATATTATAAATTCGATTGGGTGGTATTAGCAAGTCCTGTTCAAAACTCTCCAGTACCTACACAACACAAACACATTCTCATACATGTTATGAATAACAATCAAATCACAACAGCAAAAAAGGCAATCGATTAGAAAATTTTATCGATTGCAGTAATGGCTTTCTTCCTCCAAAGGATTGTTCCAATCAGAGCCAAAAAAAGCAATGTATCGATTTGAACACGATGTAAATCAATTACCATCACTACCACTACTTGAGCCCTGCTAATCACTAAAACTATTTTTATACAGTATTTTTTGTAAATATAGTGGTCTTATCAAATATACACAATATATATAAATATGACGACAAGAAATTTCTAACATTATCCTAATTTCGACCGCGCATGATGAAAAATTCTAATACTAATAATATAAATAATAATAATGTAAAATGTATAAATCAATTTGACCATGTTCGTTCTACTCGTAGTATGACATTAAATATTTAAACATTTTATTGTAGAAAGCTTTAAACAGGTGAAGTGGTAGTTAAAACCTAATTGTTTACATGAAGATTAAGCACAGATGAATACAATAGGCTATACAAAAGACGAGGTGGTAGTTACTGTTCATAAATAATAGAGCCTGGTCACCAGTCATTCTATGCTGATGTAGGTTTAAGTGTAAGTCAAATGCTACAAACAAGAATTTAGGCTCATAACTGTATGGATATGGAGCTTTTAGATATGCGTCTGCATAAATCTAAGAGCCGTACGTGCTGCATCACTAAAGGCTACGTTTTAAAGATATATATACAGTAGTTATTCAAATAGTGTACGAGCAGACAATCTGTTGAAGAATGACTGCCAAAAACCGTGTAAAACGGAAAAGGCGCATTAAAGATGCCAAGAGTTATACAGGATTATCGCGTCTATCGCCTGTAGTTATTTAAACAATTAGGAATACCACAGCATTTCTCGAGGACATAATTTATTCTAAGGACGACCAGCACTGCCAGTTTATTTATCGACGGCAATTCCGATAATCGTATGCGCATATGAAATAATTTAAATTTCCAGTAACTATAAAATCTTGTTTACTTTGCGGTAATGTTTAATAAATGTCGCGCACATACTTGTTGTGTAAACGGTATACGAACTTGTACGGATGCAACTAAATGAAACAGGACTACGTTTTTTGTAACATTATAATTTAAGTTATTGTGAAATAGAATTAAAACTATTATAGTGATTAAACCATTTTAATTAATAGTGAATGAAACTGTGAACTAAAACGATAAACTGTGTATCAATAGAGCAATTACAAGTTGCATCTTAGTTTAAATTTAAATCAACACTCTAAACGTAAAAATGGCTTAAATATATGTAATATAATATTTCACACAACTCACACACGGCCGTCTGATCCCAAACTAGGCAGAGCCTGTACCATGGTATCCAGACAGCTAATAAACATACTTAAATATTTTTAAATACATACATGTTATAGATAAACTACACCCAGACACAGAACAAATGGCCGTGCTCATCACACAATATTTTTCCTAGGTGGGAATCGAACCCACGACCTCCGACTTATCAGTCAGGGTCACTAACCACTAGACCAACAGGTCCATCAACATAATAATAAAGCTGAAAAGAAACTGAACCTATATGTGAAAGAAAAGTTTCGGTATTAGGATTTTTTTATAAAAGCATTTGGATGGTAAAAGTTTTTGGATAGTCTCTGAGACTGACAACGTGAAGATATTATGATGCAGGAGGCAATTAATAATAATATTGTTTTTAAAATAATCCTACCAGATGTTTTACGGTTGTAAGAAGAGATGTTTTAAGTTCTTGACATTCTAGACAAGAAAACCCTCTAATTATTAGGTTAGTAATATAATTTCAAATTAGACAAATTTTAAAACTTATATCTTAAATCAATTCTTATTTTATCATTGTCACTGATAAATTGCATTATGAGATTTAGTGATTTCATACATGTAAGATTTACGTCGATAATATAACACGTAACTATATAAATGTGTTTGTGTCAAAAGCTCATAAAAGTTCGAATGCAATGGAATCGATCAAAAGTATCGTTGATTTATAATCGATTGTTACACCGGGTACCTGTGAGAACTGTTGATCTAGTCCAAGATATTATGAGGGTTCATATAATCGATTCACTTGGCCTGTATTACATAGTTAAGTCATGTCACAACAGCGTATTGTATGTGTCAAAATTAACACTGTTAAGCCATGGTACTCGTACCTCGGGCGGATGAACTACGTTTACAACATAGCTTTAAAATATTAGTTTAGCTTATCCTGCCGTTATTCAATCTCAAACGATGATTTTAAATCAAGCAATTAGTACACTAGAAATAAAACTTTCGGAATTTTATCAAAAATATCCCATTCTTGTAATATTAGATTCATATGATTGAAAAAAGGGAAGCGACTTTAAACAGTACTAACAAAAATAATTAAAAATTAATCACAAATCTAATCTAAGTGAAGAAAACTAAAATAAGTACGACCCTCAATATAAAAGGTAACATTATAAGAGCAATAGATACCTTATAGTCTGTTTGAAGTCGGTGTCAAGCCAAATAAGTAGTTTATAGGCTTGGTAGAAGTGGGCACGGCAGCTGCAAGAGTCTTCATGCTGTGCAAAACATGCTGAATGAGACAAAGTGGGTTACGCACATCTCAAATGATATTATTATTATGAATGGAATTATATTGGATTCTTAATTATTTATTGTTCCGTTATTTAGTTCACCATGTTTAGTGTAAGATATGTTTCTAATGAGTAGATAAGTACAATATTTAAAACACTACGTACTATTATTTATATTTCAAAACTATAGTATGTTAGATTATCTTAAATTTAGTTTAATAAGTCCTTACTTTATGTAGATAAGGTAGTAAGATGTTACATTTGAACAATTTTGAAAATATATTGTTTACCACATTACTTAATTTTCCACCACTTGCAGTCGCATTTTATCTTCACATTTGAATGGAATCAAGGGAGAAATATACCCTTACATATAAAAAAGAATTTTACAAATCAAAGAGTTTTGAGGTAACAAACATGAAAATAATTTCGTCACAAACAATTTTTTAGTCTAATTGTTTTGTAATCTCATTTATTACTCTTATGTGCACATTTCTCTGTAACCTAACACAAACACCTAATAAATATCTTGAAAGAATAAAGCAAGGTCAATTCGTGATGTAAGAGTTATCCTCTAAATCATAAAGGTCAAGAATCCTTTCATCATCAGCTCAGTTTAGTAGTCATTATTTCATGTTGCCATAATGACTACTAAACGCACACCTATACCTATATAGCTAGAGAAACAAGCTAAAACACGTTGTCGGGCTGTAAAATTTGAGGATTTTGATCGATTTCTCTATCGATTTCTCGATCCTATAATCAAATAATGATTTGGTGGTAATGGGAATATACCCTCTAGACTTCAAAAAGGATTTTGAAAATCGATCCACAAATGACGAAGATATCGCGTAACTAACACAAAAGAAAAAGAAAATATTCGGATTGAGAACCTCTCTTTTGTATTTTTAAGTCGGTTAATAATAATCCTATTTGTTTAGCTTTTCTGATACAATATTTGTGTGTTCAAAATATATTTTATTTTGATTATTTTCTTCTATAGTTAGTCGCATCGTTCTGCTTTCACAAATTGATAAGTTCAGTCATTTATAAAATGTAAAAACTCTTTCTGTTTCTCTAGGAGTTATATGATAGCATCGGTAAATCGCCATTTAAAAATAAAAATATTGCGAAATTATAGAAAGTCTATAATTGAAATCTACACATTTAATAGTTAAAAAATACACACATTTCTAATGTGGTTTTACATCATGTTCTGAAACCGGCTTAAGCGGGTCAGTTTCTTTAAAATAATTTTCATTGTAGATTTTTTTGAATTCCATTGCACATGGTGCAATTAGTTCATAAAAAATAGGTGGAACATTTTCATATACCAGTTTATTACCATCGACAATGATTTTGAATGTAAAATGTGCTAAATCTTCTGACGGTTTTGGTGAAAAGTAATCTCGTGAACAAAATTTCACTTCAAATGTCATGCTGGATTGTGCGGGAACAACACTTTTCATGGGCTCTATATAGAATATTTTCTTCATTTTTGTGGTCACTTTAATATATATAGTTGCTGGATATAGCTTATGCACATTAGTGACTATAAACTGATCCTGAAAATAGCCGTATGAAACTGGTGACTTGGACATATCTAACAATATAGGTGTAATTTTGATCGGATGAGGCAGAACTTCTGCCAGAACTTTAATTGTTTTCTTCTTTACTACAATATTTGTTTCCGGATCAATTAAGTCTAAATCATAGTAATTGTGGTGGTAACCAGTATGTTCAACTTTACTAAAGTAAACAGGAATAGAAATTTTTGAATGAGGATGCAGAAACACATAGGTTCTATCGAATATGAAAACTTCCAAGGCAAGCTGCAGAATGTCGTCAACAATGGAAAATATCATCTCGGTACTATTTTCTGGCACTATTTCCGTAATAACTGAAAAGTCCGGCTCTGCTTGTGCATCCGGTAATCCTTCCATATTTACTGATTGCTTACTATTAAGTGTATTTTGAAGAAAACTATCGCATTCCTTAAAGATCTCTGTATTAAATACATTTGGTATCATTGATATCATAGATTCTTCAGACAAATCAAAACTCAGTTTGTGGATATGCAGGTGGTACGACGATGGTCCATCTATGCATATTTTTAGGACCCCACTTGGATACTCAGATTCAGGCCCCCTTTTAACATGCCATGGGTAAACGGGCGGTATATTCACGGTTTCCGATATTGTTACCTTCAGATCAGATCCAAATTTAGAGAGGATAGGGACTAAAAGTGGTTCTGTAGGTGCATTATAATAAACATCACGGCTAATTCTAAAATATAAACCTGTTTCAAACTGTTCTATAGTCTGAAGCTTAAATGTGAGTTTGAATACAACAGCAATTCCAGGGTACAAGCGTTTCGGAATTTTTGGCAAAATTTTTATTTTTTTAAAGAAGGAGCGATTCGTGACATATTTAAATCTAACATGCAAGTACTCTGAAGTGCAATTAGTAAGCGAAAATAATAGAGATTGTTCTTTTAATGTCCTGTTTATAATATTTATTGTAGCCGGGTTACATATGACTGTAGTTGTGCTTGGTTCCCATTCTTTTACCCCAGTCTCTCCTATATGTTCCATATGATGCGTTATTGAGTGAAAACTAAGTGGACTAATATTAGAATCAGGAGGTGAAATTAATTTATGAGTGTTCGTATAAATGCAGACCGGTAAACTTATAGTCGTCTGCTTTGCAGAATCTAAGTTATGCTGTACTTCTGCATCTATTTTTATGGGCTCAATCATTGGACGATCAACCGAAGAATTTTCTGTATTGGGATGAAGGGTTGCATGCTCATCATTATTTAGTATGTTTTCTTCAATATGCTCTTCTTCTCCTTGTTCTTCGACTACTGCATTATTAAGTGTCAATGGTGGCACTGAAATTATCTTAGGTTTGGCCAGATCACGCCATTTACTAGCTGTTCTAGCTAGAACGTCATTTAACTGGAATGGGGATGGTCTTGTAGACTCTATGTATAACTTTTCTATAATATTCAACTTCCGAAGATTTGCACATTGAATTTTGCGCAAACGATCTGTTTTGGCAACGTGTAATCGTTTCACTAAGTTTTGCCATTGCTGTAAAGATCTAAAATCAATATGAAACTCTCTTTCTATTTCTTTTATTAACTCTTCTACATCTGTATTGTAATCATTATTATCTCGTATACGTACATGAGTGCACTTTGAAGAATGCATTTTTTTTCAAGTATTCATTGTTAAAAAAACCGAATATATATATATATAATAATAGATTTGTGTCAATAAAATGAAGTTGAAAAACGTCAAACGTCTTGAATATCTGATTTCATATTAAATCCTTTTTTACATTTTTATTATATTTTTTATGGCGTATACTAAATATTTCAATGCTTTTTTTTTGTACAGGCAGGCTATGGATGCAAAAATTCCACGAGTGTTACTCAGCATAGCATTAGCGGCTATGCTGCCTATGGCTTCGCTAAATAGTCAAGATGAAGTAGCAAAAGAAAATACACCGCATTCGCGCCAAAAAAGGTTGCTGTGGATCACAAACGACGGTCGATTGGCTTTACCTCCTGGCACTACAATGACAATTACACCTTCATTATCTCTTCCATTCGTTAGGCATCCACCAGTAGGATTTTTATCTAATATGACGATGGCATTTCCTTTTAGCAGTAAGTAAATTTTTTAACATACATTTGTAACGTTAACATTACTTTAATAAAATTATGAAGTTATACTAATGATCAAAATATTTAGTACCTATTCAAAGTTATACATTTATGACTCCGAAATAGGATGCCAATTACAGCAAATAAACTTGAAAGAGATCCGTTATTAAGGAAGATATTGCAAGTACTTTTATAATTTGTACTTATTTGAGATATTTCTTCATTTGGTTTATGGAAGCACAACAAGCTACCGGACCGATGACAGGCAGCTATAGCAGGACTACTGTTAATTTAAATTTTAAATTAGCTACGTCATTTCACGGACTACTCGCCGTGTCTTACTTACTTTTCATAGTTTTCATACGATATTTTTAATGCTTAATTAATGTTACGATTTTCAGATAAAATGGAATATTCCTTGGAATTTGAAAGTCAGTATTTACAGGTCTACTAGTAATTAAAGTAGAACCGACAACCTGTAGAATTTAACATTGAATATAGTTAGATTAAAATAGTTAGTATAATATATTCTAAAGTAACGTATTTATGTTATTATTTATATGTGCTCTTAAACCTTTTTAAGACACGTAGCTTAATAATAATAGTATCTTATAACTAATAGTATTATTAGAATATCTAGTGGTAACCGAATTTTTAAGATAAAAAATATATTTCTATCTCACTCTTGAATTAAAAATAAATAAAATTTATAAAAAGAGCTAGTGCTGGCCTTAGTAATTGGTATTTAATAACTGTACCATACTTTGAAACAAAATTTATATAGACTTAGTGAAACAGTTACCTAATTAGCGAAATTGTTGCAGTAGCTCTACAATTAAAATAAAATAACTACGATGTATGTAAATGCTTAAAATATAAAAACTGTTTTAGTAGACTACTTTAATGTGAAACTAACACTTTTTTACACACTTGCAGTTGACTTCGACAAACTAGGTTTAACGGATAATGAAAATCCTTTTGGTGATTTCCCACCAATTTTGTCAAGGTCTATGGGAAGAGCCGCTGTTTCAGTGATAGCCGATTATATTGGCGAATATTTAAATAGAAGACGGGGAAAACGATCAGTAATAACCATGACTCCCGAACAGGAGAAGGCAGCGCTCGAAAAATTGTATGGAGGAGAGAGGTAAATCATAATTAGTTAAACGCGGTGCTCATTTAATATTTTACGAGAAGCTTGTATAGTAATGCTAATAATAAAGAAGCAAACAACGAGCCATTTACTGATAAATAGCTTTGAAAGTAGTAACAAAGGGAACAGGCAATAAGGGTCACACACAATAGCTATTAGCACGTATTTCAGTAGCGACCACGTGGACTTTAGTAACAGTGGCGGTTAAATTATTGGCCGTCACTTTCACCTACACGGCGATGAACAGATCGCAAATTCTATTCACGAAGGGCAACTGACGACAAACGCAGGAAGTTCACTTACAAAAGGTGCTTGATATTCATTCTATGATTCGAAAACCGGCGCCAATTACGTAAGACAAACTAGAACTATATATTACGGTTTGAATTGTATGTCAAATTGGTCACTACACAACAAACAATAAATCTGAATGTTTTCATCAGATCAGAAAGTAAACTAGACATTGCTTTTATTAGTAGTATAATATATATTTGATCTATATACATATATTATACTACTATTAATACAGTTTTACCCTATTTCAGGCAGGCAGCAATTAAAGGTTTTGATCTAAATTTTATTATATACCTTTATGTTTAAAAGAAATATGTATAAATAAAATAGTAATACCTTAGTTTTACACTGGTGTTACTTAAGGATTAACGAAAATACTGATTAAGATCTAGGTATTTTAAATAAAAATGTCCTACACTGTAAAATAATATTGGTCACATAAATATATATATTATTATTATATTTTGATAGCATTTTAGACAATTATTGTACAAATATTTGTTTTTGCGAATTACTCGTATTTTCGTGTAAGTTATCTTTGTTTCTATCACTATCTCAGATGATCATTGCAGATAAAGCTAAACAAAGATGAAGCTGAAAAAATATTAACTAAACATTAAAAGATTTTTGAAACTGTTTTAGGGCCATATTGTATGGAATTGCTGAAGATATGTTAGCCAACTTTGGGCTATCAGGCAAGGAGTGTTTGTTACGAGCTATTTGCGAAATTCAAGCGCATCCTTTAAAAAATTTCGGTTTTCTAGGAGAAGTCATGAAGCTTTTCTTTACGTAAGTATGCCTAGAGTAAATAATTGAATTGCAAAGTACTAATCGCTTCTAGTTATGAATGCGCAGTCTTTCTCTTTTTCTTTGATTCATATAGTCCAGTCATTATAGTAAGTTCACCTCGGAATTCGAGATACCCAGCTGTAAGTCTGTAAATACTTGTATATTGACACCCTAAAAGTTGTCTCAAAACCTACATATGGTAGGGTGTAAGCAACTATTAAATTTCAAGGTCAAAAGTCACAAAAATCGGTTTATTGCGCTGTTTTTGGAAATATCTCATTTCCTATGGGTTTCTGCTATTTGTATTCATTTTCAATGTTGTAGAATACAAAATTCTCTACAAATTTTGTTCAAAAATTTTTTTATACGGTGAACCGTTTTCGAGATAGAGGGCGGAGAGCGCGCGGTCACAGCATCACTTCAGGTCAACCGGTGCCTCCGGTCGAAAACGCGCCATATATAGTTGATGAACTATCGATAAATCAATGATTATAAATATTTGTCAATTTTTATTAACTATTATATTATATTTTATCATTTTTTTCCTAACTTATCCACTTTTTATTCAGTATTAATTTATTTAACAACACTTACCTGCCCATGTAATTGCAGAATTGTTCATGAAAATATAGGAATCATATTTGAATTTTAACCTAATTAATATTAATAACTTCTTACATGATGAAAAAAAAAAACAAATAAATTATGAATTAATCTTTTTATTAAAAAATATCATTGAATACATTTATATAGTTGCTTACACCCTACCATATGTAGGTTTTGAGACAACTTTTAGGGTGTCAATATACAAGTATTTACAGACTTACAGCTGGGTATCTCGAATTCCGAGATTCTTACCTAATTTAAGCTTAAACGACTGGACTAATAAGTTTTTAAAATTGATGAAAGAATCTAACTTGCGATGAAACTTTAATTATTTGTTGATACCACATACCCAACTTACTATAATTTTCAGGCCAAGTAAGTCGCCGTATGCAGGTTTGATGGACGAGTATGTGGAGGCTCAAAGGGCAGGCGAAGCAGGAGGCGAGTGTTGGCCCTACTACCGTCTATGTCCTAAGAGTATCTTTGAGTCTTCAAACAAATATTCGTAAGTTAACACTTTTTGTTTATGATCTTGGTTATACTACAAGGTTTTTGCAGCTTTGAATTCATATGATAAAAATTATGGATTACAAATAAGTAGTAGAATATTAATAGATTCCTTAAATCACTTGAAACTTCGTAACCGTGTAGCCCAATAGTTTAAAACCACTGTATTTGTTGGGATGTCGGACATCTTTCGTTTCGCTTTCCTGCAATCTGTGTGATGTCCGGAAAAGTATGTAAGTAACTAGAAGAAACTTTACAGGAAGAATATCTAAACATAACCATATATTTATTTCTGCTCTTTATATATAATTTATCGCTTTAATGTGGAGAAGTGTAGACGGCATTAAAATCTTTATATTCAAGAAGAACCAGTTAGACCACTTGACTACTTTTATGTTTTTTCACCGAAAAATGAGGGCAATATACCTAGTAAGTTTAGGAAACGAAAACTTATATTTAGCAACCGCATAGGAAAAATAATTATTCTAAAATAATTTTAGGAAGTTATTTAATATGTAGACAAACATTTCATAAGCAATACAACATGAAGCACATTTATACATTTATATTATATACCAGTTCAATTGTTTTGGCTACGGTGTACTTTACTCTATCCTTCTCGCCCATTATATTTTCGTTACCCCCAATTTACTTTTTAGACTTGTTTAATCTGAAAACGTTTACATTCCAAAATAGGTTGGGCATCATGTAAGTTTCTTGCTATAAAATAAATCATCAGCCTTTAGCAATAATGGTGAAGATCGATTAACGATTCGAGTCTGTTTCACTGCCAGTATCGTCAGCATTGTTCCAAGTTCGGCACGGTAAACATCTGCTGGTATTGTCTGACTAGACTTGAGAAAGCTATAGTGACCAAACATTTACCATTACCTTTTTATTGGTAAGCTTTGCTTTAGGACGCTGATGCGACGTTTGACCTGGGGTCAGCCATTGCATTTTGTGCTTACGGTTATCGTAATCGATCCACTTTTCGTCATATGACTTCATACTTCATACTTTAACTCCTATTATGATTTGGAAAAGTCAGAAAGATGATCATGATTAATAATAATAGAAACATCTGTTAGAATAAATGTAACTATCAACAATGTAACTACAACGATGTCTAAGATACTTATTTTCGAAGTTATTTACATTATAATCAGGGTGATGACACATCTGAACTGAATGAATTGATCAGAAGATTTATATGAGGTTTTATCATAATTAATAAAAATGTTTTGGGTAGAAAGAAAGAAATTATATTTATGAAGATAATCACTAAGATCACATAATATTATCACACAATATTATATTATCATTATATTAGAAGGGATCACTTAGCTTTACACAACTTTCGATATAAAAATGTTCATTATTTCGTATTTCTTATATTTTCATTTAAAATATGGAATTCTAAATTAATTGGAGCATTTTGGTATTACAAACTAATTTAAGCATTTTAGATAAAAAATAATTAAAATAATTAAAATTTTGGATATTGGATGTAGATTTCGAAAATAGTGGATGGAGAAATTGTACACACACGCTTTTATAAGTCTAAGAATCTAAGGGATATTACATATAATTATTACATATAATATAATTGATTTACAGGAAGGAAGCAGATGACTTACACAGGCGACAAGAACACGACGATATCGAAGAGAACAAAATAGAAGATGTACAGGCAATGTAGATCAATTTTTGACGTTTATAGGGGCTCCTGAGGGCCAATTAATCCCAAATCTAGTGGTAGTTAGTTCCAACCAAAGCTGTTGTTAATAGACTTGTACTAAATTTATTTATTTTTTACGCTTAAGTGCCATTCTATAAATAATTTAGTTGAATATGTTGATTGTCTTCAAACATTTGTTATATTTTTCCAATTTTTATTTATTCTTAAATGTATAATAATTCTCTTACGTCTTTCTTGTCACTCTTTTACACTTAAGGAACACGTAGTCTTACGTAGCTAGTGATTTTGTAAATTTTACTTCGAAATTGGTGTGTAAGTAATTAAATGTTAATAATTAAAGCCATTTGTTTGCATTAATTTATTTGTTATCACATCCGCCATCATAGTATGTACTATCGTTTGTTACTAAATTTAATAGCAAATTAAATACTAAACAGGAATCATTTATCAACGTATTTTTTAAAATTAGCAATAAATCACAAATCACATCAACAAATTTACCTTCAATTAATCGTTATAGATAACTAAAAGTAGGATTTTTGCTGAATTGAAATCTCCGAGGACTTGTGGAGGATTCGACAAGATGGTATAATTATTTTCGATAGGCCCTGGCCATAATTTTCCCGCTCCATGTCTCCCTTTAAGAGCGTCACTTTAAAAATAAAATAATAGATACTTTAGCACTTATTCATTATTGAGACTTCATAAATTTGTATGGAAAACATATCATAAAAGTCAAAATTCTATCTATTTTTGAACTAAGTAACATAAAATTCAACAGTTAGACAGTTAATTAGCTTTTTGGTCCAGAAAATTCTTATTAGAGCGGATTTTTTTATTAAAGCTTCAACTAAAAGGAATTGATTGCAATAAAAATGAAAAAAAAAATATTATCAGCTAAGGTGCCAAAAAACAATGTCAAAAATGGTAAAAACCAGTTTTTCGCGACTGGAGCGAAAACTAAAGCTCCTAAGAAAATAAAATGTGAATGAATGTAACAAATGTGCGCAATAAAAAAAAAAGCAAAGAGAATGAACCCCTGAAGAGAAAAATCGGACATTCATATAGGACCATCAGATCGGTCAAAATTTACATTGAACCACGTTCGGGAAGTGGCAGAGTTGAAATTTGGATATGTTATCAGTGTTGTAACTACAGTTAAATTTTCAGGTCAAAATGTTTTAAGCTTTTTGCAAACCGTCGTTTGCACAAGCGTTTTCTTAGTTTGCACGGGGAGAACGTTTTTTAGGCGATTGATAGTTGAATCTTTAATAAAAAAATATTTTCGCTCCAATAGGATTAGGATAAGGATTTTTCAAGAATTTTTCGCTAATTCAACCCATCTAAGTAACAGATAATTAGATATGTTTTTTCTTGAAAACAAAAACTGCGTTAATTCCTATATGTGAACTTGCACTTCAAATCTAAGGAACCTCGTGCACCGACTGATAACGAGAAAATGTAGGAGTAGATAATTGTATGATACCCAGCCCGATCGGCTCAAGGCTTGATACGTGATTCAGTCACAACCCTACGAAACTAAAACTGAAAGCGCCGTCAGGGGGCGTGGAAATGAAACGGTACGCGGCCCGATAATTTTCTATTTTTGGACCAAAATTCTGCTATGATTAAGGTAAGGTCAACAATTAGATGTAAACAAAGTGTGTGTGTGTGCCTTCATACTGTTTTTGTGTGTATTGTATAAGAACATTACGTGTTTTAGGCGCAATATGTGATGTTCGCGTTAATACTTATGTTGAGTGCAATGCTTGAAACTGCCTCTATAACCAAACGAAGCTATTCCGATCAATCTGTAAGAGGATATGTTACCGAGGTATTCATTAAAAATATTTATCAAAAGTATCAACCTTGTCCAAACTAAAAATAGAAGTGCTAACAATAAATCAATAAAATATGTTTGTAGAGAACATGCTGGTGGAATGAAGTATGCAAGGAAGAATTTCAAACACTGTTTCGATGTAAATGTCCATCATGGTCGTATTGTCGTAGTCCTGGGCGGTATTACAACGCAGTATGCTCAATGACTGAGACCGGTTACATTTGGGACCAGCCTAACTCGGAATGGCGCGGCCAGTAGAAAGCAACAACACACAAATATTTGTAAACAGCCCTAAACATTATTGTAACTTAACATTCTAGCTTGTTACTCTAGATGATAGGCCTGTACGACCTTTAGATCTGCACATGTGCCAAATTCATACAACGATTCTAATTTGAGACTGATTCAGTATAAAATGAAATCAAATTTCGTCTTCTATTTTCATATTTAGCCTAAGATAATCCCTATTTGTTCATTTCATCACCTTATCTAGAATCATAAAATGTCGAGTGAGATGCGTTGTATCTTGACCAATGTTTTTGAGTACACTTGTTAGAATTATGTAAAAAATAAATCTGTTTATTGTGTCTTTGGATTTCATTTAATGTTTCTTTAATACTGACCTTGAAAGTGTGCCTATAAGAAGCCATTGCTGAATTGCGCATGCGTATCTTAGTGTATTCAAGCCAGTAATCAATAGCCGTAGCAGCCAGCAAACGAATCCTAACAATTGGAGAACACAACAAATACCGCTGATCATCAAAATGCTGTCGTTTCTGCTATTTCTCTTCGTTTTTACTGGAATAAATTGTGAACCAGAAACTGTGAGAGAAAATTCAGACTACTTTAGCTACGGCAGCAACGAAGATATCCTGAAAAACTTAGATCTGCATTTGGTACGTAGCACGAATTTAATATAAGTCGATATGACGTAACTTTATATTTTAAATATTAAATAAGATATCGACATACATTGTATTAGCCGTCGTTAATATTTGCCATACATGTTTTCAGCCCAAAGATGAAATTGTTCTTAGACCACAAGAAGTGAAAGACTGGCCTCAGCAATCGCTGAACGTTGGACAAATAACTTCGGTATCAATCAATTCTCTGGGCCAACCTGTTATATTCCATAGAGCTGAAAGAGTTTGGGATGAGAGGCTAGTAATTGAAATATTAACTGTATGTATATTTAAGACTAAAAACCAACGTTTAAATATTTCACTATTCCCACAGCACCTTCAATGAGTCCAACATCTACCAGAATTTAGACAAAGGTCCAATCATCGAAGACACGATCTTAGTTCTTGACCCACACACAGGATCCGTCTTGCATAGTTGGGGAGCGTATGCCTTCTACATGCCCCATGGACTTACAGTAGACCATCACGACAACGTGTGGGTAACTGATGTCGCTAAACATCAAGTTTTTAAGGTAAGTACAAGTTTTCTTAATACTAGGCTATATACGTCGATCGTTTTATGTACGTTTAAGAAGGGTTGTAGATGGTTTCAATACGCAGTTGGACTTATAGGTGGGGTGCAGCCGAGTTTGAAAATAGATTGTTTCACTTATTGACCGTAGTGTTACTGTTGTTTTTGTTCTTTGAAGATTTTAGTGTAGTTTACCTTTTAAGATTAAATACAATTCTACGTCCGGATACAACAACGCTATTTAGTCTAAATATAAAAGCATTAGTCTTCTCAAATGTTACTTATATGTTACGCAAATTGTAAATGCCTATGACAATTCTTTTATCATTAATTCGCACCTTTGGGAAAGTTGAAAGCCGTGGTCGTCAAACTGCGGCCCAAGACCCCTAATGTTACGACCCCATAAGAATCAATAAACATAATTAATTGGCGAATGCTATAACTGAATTGGAATACGAAATATATAATCATGGTTATTTTATAGAATATAGTAAAACCCAAAAAAAAATTTTTAACTTTCGAATATTTTGAAGTCGGAGAGACTGCAAACTATCTATTCTTACTTCCTATTCTAAAACTAACTTCTAACGAATAAAGGGGCAACCACTTTGCACTTATCCCGAAGATGTATTAAGGATTGTAAGTCGCCCAACGATGTCGCCATAGAAGGAATCACAAAAAATCTACATCATAGAATGCACAATGGTCAAAATAGGTAGAATGATTTTATGTACTTGCATTGGACAAAAATTTACTCGGTATTCTGCTAGTTTTAGTAATACCTTACTACTTTATCTTTGTTCTTTTTTCTTTAAGTAGTCTCTTTTATTAAAATATAAATTTTAATCATGATAATTTTAATTTAAAATTGTATTAAAATATAAATTTTAATCATGATAATTTTAATTTAAAATTGCATTACAATTATAAATTATAAGGGTTATATATAATATATAATAGCCCCTTATACCAAAGTAAGAGATTACACAGGTTCATTTTCATGTTACATGATTTTAGTTACACTATGTCTCTTAATTCGGTGTGCCTTTTGGCATAGGCCTCCTCCAACGATTTCCATTGTTGTCTGTCCTGAGCAACCCTTCTCCACATTGGTCCCACTGTCAACCTGATCTCATCTTCCCATCTTATGTTTTGCCTTCCTCGGCTTCTGCGTCCATTACTTGGGTACCATTCTGTAACAGCTTTGCTCCATTTCCCTTTATTTTCCCGCATCATGTGACCTACCCATCTCCATTTCTGCTGATCGATTCGATTCAATACGTCGGTGAGTTTAGTTTTTAGACGCAGGTCCATATTTCTCACTTTATCCTGTCGTTTACATCCTGTCATGCTCCTTTCCATCGCTCTTTGGGCTATGGCAAGCTTTTCCCTTAATATTTTAGTAAGGGCCCATGTTTCGCAGCCGTATGTTAAGCATGGTAGGATACATGAGTTGAAGGTCTTTCTCTTCATTGACATGCTCAGGTCCTTTGACTTCATTATTTCCTTGAGCGACCAGTATTTCCTCCATCCAGTAGCGATCCTGAAGTTGATTTCTTTTGTCATTTGATCTTTGGTTGAGATGACTTGACCCAAATAAGTATAATCTTCCACATACTCCAACAGTTCGTTATTAATGCTGATGTTGGTTTTTCGGGAGTTTGTCATTAATTTTGTCTTAGTAGTGTTTAATTTTAGTCCGACTTTTATACTTTCTTCTCTTAGATTTTGTATCATATATTCTAGCTTTTTGGGGCATTCTTCTAGTAGCACTAGGTCGTCGGCGAATCTTAGATGGTGCATTCTAGATCCGTTTATACTAATGCCATATTCTTCCCAGTTTAGTTTACGGAATAAATTTTCCAGTACTGCAGAAAACAATTTTGGGGAAAGTGGGTCCCCTTGTCTCACACCTCTTTGTATTTGAAATTCACCTCCCAATGTCTCTAGCCGAATCCTAGCTTTGATATTGGAGTATATGCATTTTATAATTTTGATATATATGGTTGGTATTCCTTGGTGTTGTAGGCTTTCCCAAATATACTCATGACTCAAGCTATCAAAGGCCTTGGCGTAGTCTATAAAGGCTATGAATATATCCTTATTGTACTCGTTGTATTTCTCAAGTATTTGTTTAACAGTATGTATATGGTCAATGGTTGAAAATCCCTTTCTAAATCCTGCCTGCTCGACTGGTTGTTATTCGTCTAATTTTAAGCTGATTCTGTCTAGTATTATCTTTGAGAAGACTTTGTATACATTGGATGTCAGACAAATAGGTCTATAGTTTTCTATGTCTTCTTTGTCTCCTTTCTTATGTAATAAGATGATATGAGATTCTGACCATTGCCTAGGAATATTGCCAGTTATTAGAATGTCGTTAAAGATTCTTGTAAGAATGGGCACCAATTCTTCTATAGTTCCTTTCAACAGTTCATTCGTTATTTTGTCTGGGCCAGGAGATTTATCCATCTTTTGGCTATTGATTGCCTTTTCGACTTCGCATGTTAGAATTTCAGGTGTAGGGTCAAAATTCGATTCATATGGTATTTTGGTCTCGTTGTGATCATTTGATGCATCCTCTTCTTGTTTAGTATACAGTTGTCGATAGAAGCTTGTGGCTCGATCTTTGATACTTATTATTATTATAAGGGTTAATTATCTTCAAACAATGAGCAACTCTGTTTTTAACCGACTTCAAAAAGTAGGAGGTTATCAATTAGGATGTTTTTTTTATGTATGTTCGTCTCCGTCATAAATATACGGATTTTCAAAATTATTTTTTGTTCATAAGGGGTTTTATTCCAAAATGGACCCATTTTAATTTCATATAGACGATGATGATGATGAGTTTCGGAGACAGACAATGGAACTCCTCAAAAACTTGATTTTAGTGGTCTTTGTTAGAATTGTTTGAACTCGTTATTATTATTATTATATTATAATATTTAATGAATACTATACTTTGTTCTGATTGGTTGCAAGTACATTGTGAACGAAAAGGACATACTTAATAGATACATTTTTTAAATGAATCTAATATAAATATCGAGATCTCTAATATAGAGAACGAGATAGATAAGGAGATATTTGTTACCTGTACCTACACAAAAACAACTTCTCATTGAAAAAACACAAATATTTGTCTCAAATCTTGATATTTTTGGTTACAGTATACACCAAGTAACCACAAATACCCCAGCCTAACTATCGGAGAAGCCTTTACAGCGGGTTACCCCTACAGACGTCGTGTTCTGCTGTGCATGCCCACATCAGTCGCAGTCGCCACAACCGGAGAAATATTTGTCGCTGACGGATACTGCAACAACCAGATACTGAAATTCAATGCGGCGGGCAAATTATTACTGGCGATACCGACTTATTCCGACACCTTGACTTTGAACCTACCGCACAGCATAACTTTATTGGAACACTTAGATATTGTTTGTGTCGCAGATAGAGAAAATATGAGGATCGTGTGCCCTAAAGCTGGTTTGAAGAGTTACGTGAAAATGTTTGAGCCGGCTACTATTATTGAGGATCCTACATTAGGCAGAGTATTTGCTGTTGCGTCTCATGGAGATATGATCTACGCTGTGAATGGACCGACGTCACAGAATATTGCTATTCGAGGTTTCACTGTAAACGCTGTTAATGGAAATATTTTGGATACTTGGGAACCGAGTACCGTAAGTAGACTTAATATATTATTGTACTTATTTTAAGAATGTTTCTATATTTTTCTTTTAGTAACGTAATTTATGTTTTATTGTTAGGTTAGAGATGAAAGTACGAGTACGTAGAAGAGTACCTAGAGATGAAATCATAAATCAATTTTAATATAAAACTTTATAAGTTTGAAGAATAGGTGGTGCTGGTGGTGGTTTCTCATATTCATACCTTGATATTTTCTACAGAACTAAAAAAGCGTACCTAAAGAGTAAACATTTTAGAAAATTTTCAAAGAACTCGTCGATATACTTGTCTACTTTTTCATATGTTTTTTTTTTACGAAATCAGCAAAATCTAGAAACGTGCATTTTTATATTTCATCGATGATAAATTGTGATGCCGTGTGATGAATTTTTATTTGGACAGGAGCCTTAACCATCATTAAACCAACTATGTATTTTCCAATTGTAGCCGTAATAGGAACGACATGTGTCTAAAGAACGCAACATTAAACTGACCAACCATGGCTAAAGAGACCAAAATAATTTATTAACTTTTTTAATGTTTACAGGGATTCACCAACCCCCATTCGCTGGCTGTGACAAGAAACGGATCACACTTGTACGTCACTGAAATCGGTCCCAACAAAATCTGGAAATTTGAATTGACAGACGTATATGACAAAAAATAGATCATTCTTTAAAATAAATGCAATGCATAGAGAGGTTTATTTATATTACTACAGAATATTGATATATAGAACAAAGCTTGAAGGCGAATAAAATTCGCTTATTTATAGAGGAGTGAATAGGATCTTTTTTGAATTGTATTTATGTAAGGATAAATTTATAAACATAATAGTATGCATATTACCAACGAAATCAAGTAGTGTTAGTTTGTGTACGTGTTCTTTGAAAATGCCTACATGATATATAGAGAAAATATATGCTTAATCTTCCGCAAACATAATATTTCGATATTATATACTTCTAATCCTGACAAGTGGATCTATGTAGCGAGAAACAATTATATATTATTGTTAGTATTAATAACATTACTCGTATAATATTTGAACTATAGGTTAAATAAAACACGCACAGAGAGAACTATTTGAGAAGGAAATCGATACATTATGTATGTAAGTTACTTAATGCATTTCGTATTAGGTCCTCTATTGCACATTTGTTATGTGCAAAAGCTTTGAAAAAACGAACTAATTTGTTAAAACAGTATTAATAAACAGATAGACAGACAGAATATGGCACTTCCAAAAATAATTTGTGTAACTTATATTTTATTGGATATTGTACTAAATCATGGTCATATGTAGGAAGGGGTTTATAGATCGTAATTAGGAAAAGACAGCTTTCGAACACCACGAAAACGTTTTGCGATTATAAGAAATATGACTTTTTCACCAAATGAAGTGAGTCGTAGTTACCCCGGTGAGTTGATGAGCCGTAGGGATATCCACTAGTCAAAAAAATGTTGAACAATTTATAGATGGATCACACACAAACGGGTGTCCATTAAATTCTCAGTGGATGTTCAATCAATTATAATAAAATAATGTGAATAAAAATTCATTTTACATACATTTGTACGTGTACGCATGTGCGTGTGAAACGCAAATTAATAAATATAAAACAGTATTATTCTCTATAACGTATTGTGCAAAAAATAAGTAGAGTTATATATTACAATTTTATTAGGAGATATTCTCATATTTATTTACTTTAAAAATAAAATTAGGACCAAAATTGGCAATTTTATATCAAATATATTTAACTTTTTTGGTATAGAGGTATAAAAGGTGGACTAAAATAAGAGGATCAGAAACTCGACAATGATAAAGTTTAATCTTTATAATTTAAAATAACTTAATAAATTACATTTATATAGATGCACATTACATACATTAGTATTTCATGCTATGCATTACTACACACAAGTATTCCAATAAATATTCACAATATTTACTACATAGGAAGAATATAATAAAATGAACAATCTGACAAAATATGTACATACACATAGATTTACCTTCCACTTTCTGCTAATTCTGTAATACCGTGTACTTAATATATACCAACCTTACACATCGAATTTTCTTTTTTTCATAACCCTCATGAATAGCACCATATCTAAAGAAAATGAAACAGAAAAATGATTAGGTAATGGCAGGGTAAAGAACATAAATAAAACGGACGAAGTTGCGACGAAAGCATGATCTAGTACATAAGGATTACGTCACAACTTCATTAGTTTTGATAAATTGCAAACTTTCAATAGCTAATTTTTCAAATTCTACAAAACAAATTAAAACCACTGGGGTAGTGGACACAAGTGGTTACGGCGGTACCATCAAAATTAGGCGGCTAATTCACTACCTGTATTGTGCATATTATTATGTAGCACCTACAGACATTTCCGTTCTTTCTGAAGCCCTTACGTGGCTTTTTTTTCCATACACATGCTAAATTAAGGATAGACAAAAATGAATATAATGCATGAAAAAACCACTCAAGTTCACTGGTAACTTAGAATTACTAAATAAAGATAAATATAAGTGACTGAAAGTTATATTGATCATCAGCCTATCGCCATTCACTCCCCAAACGAGCGCCAACCAAAAATTTAAGTTATATTACTTACTTATAAATATAAGCATGACAACAGCCAGCATAATCCAGAGCCAACATTTCCAGGCGCTTCGACTGTGCTCTTGTAGCCGTTCAGATTCTACTTGAAGTGATGACAAATTTTTGTCTGTCAGATCTGAGGATTTCTTCAATGCCTGTCAAGAAACACACCAGAGTTATAACGCATTTTCACAGGTCTATAGGATCCACATAGTCATGGTACTGGAATTTTATGTTTGTTAAAGTTTATGCCATGGGTTCCATATTTGACTGCCTCGGTAGTGCAATGGTACCGTATGCAACTGCTGTAGTGGGTGTGGGGTTCGAACTGAATGTTTGTATTCAAATATATTTGCAAATATTTGTTTCGGAGTTGGGTGTTTTCTTAACATGTATGTATTAACAAAAAAAAGTATATAAGTATTCTATCAGTCAAGGCGTTATGTGTTAGATGTCCGAAAATAATATTATTTTTTTGGAAAAGTGTTACACTAACTAAACCACCCGGTAAATAATAATCTTCTGTGTCAGATAATTAACTAAGTTAAGTTACTAAAGTATAAACTTTTAGGTTCATTACAGAAAAATAAAAGTTTTGCATTCAAAATTCACCAATGTTTTAAACTCTGTATTAAAATGTCAGTTAATTATGTGCCTCTAATCTGTTTTTGACGGTTAGAGTTGCCACTAGTCAAAGAAACCGACCTAACCACCGTAAAAGAGCCTTTAATTAATGTGTGAATAGCTTAGCATAATAATTACTAGACGCAATGACAACACGACGAGACAGCAAAGAAAATGTTAAAAGAAAGAAAACAGTCTTTCTTTACCTCAGCATCTGCTTTAATGATTGTGCTAGCTATCTGTGATTGCTCCTTGAGACTCTTGGTCAGAAGAACCATATTTTCAGCTACTTTCTCTTGCATATTTTGATGGTATTTCAGCAGGGAGTCCATATCTTCCTGGCTGCTACTGTTGCTGGTAAAGTTTGGAGCCTTTATGATGTTCCGTTTCCGTAAAGCATTGTCACTGTCCTCTGTAATAAAATAATGTTATTTTTTTTTTGTTTAGCAATTACATCACTACATTGAGATACAAATATTTATTTTTTTATCACTTTATCACTTAATTCTGTATTCTTTCTTATCAATGACAGCCCTATTTATAACTCTTCGAGAGCTTGGTATGCAATTTCCTATAGTACCTGAGAGACGAGGCTATATTTTCTACCATTGTATAGTAGAAGTTGGTTGGATCACAAATATTTGAGAATCTTAATGAGTGAATAACAAGGCCTTATTATTAATAATCTATGAGAAGAGAAGAAGTTGGTAGAGTCAAGTGTAGATTAGTTAGTATCCAAAAGTTTCTAATACTAACCCAATCCAAACAGTTCAGATCGAAGTTCCACTCCATACTTAACAACTGTCTTCTGATGTATTTCCTGTGCTGAAGCATCAGCAGACATGGTTGCTGCTCCATGGGATAACTGTTGAATAGCTTCCAACTAGAATGAATATGTTTCTCTTGTAATAAGCACCCTTAAAAACTGAAATGTATTTAAATAAATAAATAAATGTCATTATTCAATATTTAATAATAATATTAAATATTGAATAATGACATTTAAAAAAGGAAACCAATATTATAAAAGCACCATCTCTTGGGTTTTGAGTCTAGAGGGCCTAATGCAAGTTTATTTAACATCATCTCGCTTTCAAAAGCGAGCATGTTCGGCATTGGTGAAGATGTCAGTCTGGGCTAATCGCAGCACCAAATGCTATCACTGTGACGATCTTGTAGAGGTGAAACAAACTTGCACTACCCTCTGAGTCGCTGAACTAATTGTGGTAACTTTCAGTATAGAGATCGATGGAACTTTGGAGGGAGACTGGGACTTTCTAGGTGACAGATATGACACAAAGTTCTAGGCAACAGCTAATAATGTTATGTACCAACAAGAAATTTTGCAAACACATTGTCATGTAATGTAATGTTCCCAAACCTCTATTGATTAACAAAATTTATATTATTTACAGCAACTTAGTAAATGTTTTACTACTTATTAGCTTTTGTTGCCAGCTTCACTGACACAACATACATTAAAACTGGAACAAGTACACTGTGCTTTTAAGCAGTATTGAGCTGGAAAAATATTTTTCTCTTCTTAAAAAGATAAATAAACATCTTACTTTTTCAATAGGAGTATTCAATGTTGCTGTCTGAACCACACCCTTCAAGAATGCAGCTCTCTTGGTGTATTCGGCCAAAACATCCTTTGCTGGTTTACTGTAACAATATTGATTTGAATGCAGCTCAGAACAACAATTTTTAGTGTTCAATACTTATACTAAAAATAAATTGAAATAATTGGTAATAGTAAACATCTAGCTCATATTACGTTCAATAAGAGTGAAGGTTTTTTGAACTTGCATCAAAACGAACTTACTCTCGAGAGTCTAGTTTCTTGAACTTTCACTATCACACGATTTTGTCCATGTTTAACCAAATTTTTGAAATATTAAAAAAAGTTAAATTATAAATAATTTAAAAATAAAATAATTTAAAAAACTACTTGCATTACATATGAAAACATAACTTACTCGGGACCAGTCTTAAGTTCCGTAATCATTTCGCTTAAAGATTCAACATATTGCTTTAGTCTCCAATTGCTCTCTAAAGGCTCCTGCTTTGCTATCAGCTCACATTTATTAAGCAGCTGACGAACATTCATTTCTAATCGCGATTTTTTTGGGATAGGACCAGAAGATACACGTTTTGATCTATTCACTGCCATTCTGATCAACGGCTTCTACTCTACTTGTAAGAAAATTCTTATGAAATAAGTATAATGCAATGTTTACCGTATGTCTGATGTCAATATTAGTCAAAAAATTGTCAACTTCAACTTTTGGTTAAAGGCTCTGTGGTAAAGTGTAACCAAATTGTCAAGTGTAGTGTAACATTAACGTCAACGTCCACGAATGTTATAAACACGACGTTTTGTTTTTTAACGTATGCTTTACCGTGGGAGAGCCATGCTTCGGCACGAATGGGCCGGCTCGACCGGAGTGATACCACGGCCTTACAGAAAGCCGGTATTAAGCAATTCTTTCGTTGCCTTTCACTTAAGAAACTCCATTGATTTGTTTTGATAATTGCTTGCATCAATCAATCTGTTCCAAAATATAAACGTGAATGTAAGAGTGAGTTCTTTCTCCAACTTGCTTGTTGCACAGTTACCTATTTTCGAATCTATTTAATAAATAACAAAAAACTTGATACTGCCTGTATTTTCACACTTGTGAATAAAATAAAATAAAATCATTCAGAAATAATACTATATTAGTGTACAACTAAAACAGGATTTTTGACTGCACGGATGGCGTAGTGGTTTAAGCGGTCTCCACGCCAGTTCCTACTACGCCAAATGTTAAGGGTTCAAACCCCACATGGGACGACACTTTGTGTGATCCACAAATTGTTGTTCTGAGTATGGGTGTTATTTGTGTCGTTTCATGTGTGTTTGTAAAGTCCCCCGGGATAAATCCTGTATCGCGAGGGACTTTACAAACTTACTTTATTCCCAATGCGGGAGTTGTATTTTCCTTAATAATAATAATAAATCCAAAGGTCCTATTAAAAAATAATACTCAAAACTCCAGAAATGCTTGAGGTTAGGTTTTGCCATTATAAAACTACGCTCAAGCTGTCTTCAATCAAGTTTTGAGAAACGTTCTGTAATACGGCATAAGGAATATCTCAATTGAACATAAGCTCTTTTATGTGTCATTAAAATATAAATAAAACTCAACAAAACCAAGTTCTGTACCTATTCATTGCTTTTAAGATAAAATAATGTTAATTACAAGTAAAAACAAAACAAATAGAAAATTTTGGTCATCTAGCAAGCAAGCATCTGCAAGCTTGTACTGTGAAAGCTAGAATCACTGGTAGAATACTTATATACTTTTTTTTTGTAAATAAATACATTTAATACACAGAAACACCCAAACTCCGATACAAATATTTGCAGATCATGCAAACATTTGGTCCGGCATGGAAATCGAACCCAAGACCTCAGCATAGGAGTCGTATACGTTACCACCGCACCACGGGATCTGTCATATATTTATAAAAATATAAATACAAAATTATTTAAGAGTAAAACACAACTAACAACATGAGTTAGTCGTGGGAGAGCCATACTTCGGCACATATAGGCTAGGCTCGACCGGAGTGATATAACCGCCTCACAGAAAAGCAAGCAGTTCTTTCATTGCTTTTCACCGATTGAGAGAGATTAACGGAGCCCTTCAGGCTTTTGCATTTCAGGCTCACGCCTGTAGTGTAAAATTTACGTGTATGATTGTGTGTATTCTTTAAAATGATGGCATGGGGTCGTGGGTTCTTTTCAAGATTTTGTTTAACCTGATACTAAATCCAGCTAGCGATATCAGGCAATATCACTTTCTACCTAATATAAACTTTTGAATATTGTTGTCTATTTTTTTGCTTGAAATCTTGACGCCAATGCCACACAAATCATCACCATGAAAAAAAAACTGAATTCAAAAGTTTGTTGTCATCGCTCTTGATACTTGGAATCTCTTGGAATGTAAAAATATATTCTACATCTTTAGCAACCAATTAGTGTTTCTCTATTCACACGCAACTACTAAAAGGAGTGTGACATTTCATGCTCTAGTCGTGTCTCACTATTGAAATTCATTCTGGAACGCTATTGCGTTTGTCAATGTCATCTTTGAGTCCAAAAATCCGATAGAGATACTATCCGGCAAACTCGCTTTTCATTCATATTATTATTTTATATTAGTACACAATCGAAGTTAACTAAGTGATATTAACAAGAAACAGTGTTAATTAATTTCTAAAATGGTACGTTAAATCAACTACTTCTCTTTTGATAGTGATTGAAACAAATCGCATAGGTTAATAATCTTGCTTGGTCATTCGGATTCATAACAATTTTGATCGTTTTTTCAGGCACGTCGTTATGATACTCGTACGACTATATTCTCTCCAGAAGGTATGCAATTAAAACTATTTTGTATTACATATTTTAATAAGTAACGCTAAATGTACTGTCATTGTATTTTTTAGGGCGATTGTATCAAGTCGAATATGCCATGGAAGCTATCAGTCACGCCGGGACATGTCTCGGTATATTGGCCACTGACGGCATCTTGCTCGCTGCAGAGCGGAGAAACACTAACAAACTGCTTGATGAAGTATTCTTTTCTGAGAAAATTTATAAACTGAATGATGACATGTTATGTTCTGTGGCTGGAATCACATCTGACGCTAATGTTCTCACGAATGAGCTGAGGCTGATAGCTCAAAGATACCTTTTGCAGTATGGTGAATCTATCCCTTGTGAACAACTTGTATCATGGCTGTGTGATGTTAAACAAGCTTACACACAATACGGAGGTAACTGCAAATACTTATATGTTTTGAATGAGTTTACACAAGTAGTCATTATTTTTCGCAAATGGAGGAATGATTAATTTTATATCTTTTCACTTTAAACCTGAGATTGAAGGTTACTGATTTTGTTATTTCTGCTTTACATTATAGTAATACTTCATTTTTCTGTTAGAGGTGTAATATATTAGCTTACAAAGAAAAGATATGTATTTTGAAAATTATTTTAGATCTTATTTCTGAACAATCTCAAAATAGATATACATGCACTTACATACATAATGTGCAACTACATATCCAAAAAAATTAAAATTTTCAGGTAAGAGACCATTTGGTGTGTCCATCTTGTATATGGGTTGGGACAAGCATTATGGATACCAACTCTACCAGTCAGATCCTAGCGGAAACTATGGTGGTTGGAAAGCAACATGCATTGGAAATAACAGTGCTGTAAGTTCTTTTTGTTCTTTTTCTCTTTGCAGCTATGTGTTATTAGCTATACCTGTTATGGTTGTTTAATAGCTCCTGTTTTACCCTTCAAATGTTAAAATAAAAACGCAGTGAGGAGTCTATGGACTCTCGGTCAAAATGAGGCTCCTTTTGCTTTTTGGTAGACGTTTGCTATAAAGTCTGCTTTAAAAAGTGATGGAAATAGCCTTATTTAGGAAGCAAACTGAAAAATATGTAACAAGCCTTTACACATTTTTTGGTCTCGCTCCCATCTGCTCAAAGTATGTAAGCAACTTTGTTTCAAAAGAAGTTAGAAATCCAAGATATCTGGCAACACACTTTTACTCTTGACTTGCAGGTTATCACAGTCAGGGAACCATTTGCTCCCTATATCATAAAAAAAAGTAAGATTACTATTCCCAAGACACTTAATAAAGAGGTTGAGAATTTATAATCAAATTAGATCATTGTCAGAAAGAAAAAACTTCATTCTTAGTGATGCAAGTATCACATGTAATTTAACAGTATTAAGTAATAAGTATTTTTATATTATACAGGCTGCTGTGTCAAGTTTGAAACAGGAATACAAAGAAAATGAGACTACTCTAGTTGAGGCTCAGGCATTAGCTATCAAAGTGCTTAGTAAGACGTTGGATATGACCAAGTTGACGCCTGAGAAAGGTAAGATTTTACAGTAACAAAAACTTAGTTACCTAGAGCTATAGATGAAATGAGCTGTATAATTAAATACAAGCTGACTGTTTAATACCTCCTTTATGATCGCTTTAATTTCTGTATGTTTATAATAATAGTAAATTATTCAGAGGAATTTATCTTTTTATTCAGAGTCTTTACAGTATGACCCTCTGCTCCGTGTACCTGCCTGCTTACTACTTACCATTCCTCTTAGCCAAATGAGGCTTAAGGCCATTTTCAGCTCGTACTTCCATATACTGTGCAACCTTGCCTCCTGAATCGGTCTCTAAAATGCCAGACAGTCATCTGTTTACTCAATTTTTTACATCTCCATTTTAGTTGGTTTGTACCTTTTTTTTTCTTTTAAAACTTTTTATTTTTTACTCCTTTCCATGGCCCTCGACCATTTTGAATGTTGGTCAATATGATATTTCGTCTAGGTCCAGGCATGACAAAATACAGGTATCGACAAGCTTATCCTTTATTTTAACACCCAATTCTTTGTTTTCCACCCATTGGTAATTCTTTTTTTTTTTTTTTTGGAAATGATTGGTCCAGGTACACATTGTTCTATTATATCGTCGCTGTAGAATGAATACCTCGTATGTCAAAAAATTAAAATATTTTTATTTTGTAAAAATCTAATAAAAACCACGTATCTCATAGCACACCAAAGCCATAGATGGCATTAGTAGCCATTACTTGGATTTTTGGCTTTGCTGTAAAATATATTAATTTTTTGACATACGAGGTATTCATTCTACAGCGACGATATGTTCATCTGTTGATAGTTATGTCTGCAACTACTGTTATGTTTGTGTTAAGTTATGAAGCACTGCTGAGAATAGCTTTGGTGAGAGTGGGTTGCCTTGCTTGACTCCCCTGTCGATTGGTCACTTTGTTTTGAATGTTTTTCATGTAAGCATTTAGGATCAATATATAAAAATACACTGGGTACAACTAACCCATCTATTTATCTATCCTTCATAGATTATTCAAAAGCCTTTGACAACCTTAAACATGAATTTGCATGGCAAAGTCTAAAGGATCAGGGGGTTCTGTATGTACACACAATTATTCTATCATGGAATGTTGAGAAACAAGTGTGCTTTGATCTTATAATTCATTATTTGATCACGATGTACCATGATAAGTTGACTATATTAGATGACCCATGACAGTATTATTTTTGATTTATTGTGTCTAACTACAATGTAAGTTTAGGAATATCAGTATTTTGTCTAAATTAATCATTTAGGTCTTACGCCCTTCTACCCATATGTTTATTATTCTACAGAGATTTTATAAAGAAGCAATATGAAATGGTTTGTTTGTATTTGTAATACTAGTTAGTATTTTTGGTTCAAAGTCCTACGGTCGGAAATTAAACATGTTCTGGGGACTTAACATAATTACACAATATTAAATAACATTGAATTAACCAATGACTTGATCAAAATCCAAATCGGTTATATAAAATGTAAAAAAGAATTGAAATTTAGATTTTAAAATAGAAATATATTTGTTTTATTTGTTTACAGTTGAAATGGCGACTCTTACGCGCAAGGATAATAAGACAGTCATCAGAATTCTATCAAGTGTGGAAGTAGAGAAACTGATTACCACTTTTGAAAAGATTGAAGCCGAAGCCGAAGCTGCCAAAAAGCAGCCACCTAAGTAGTATTGATTTCATCTGCTTAAAATAAGCTTTCTCACATTAAATATTTTACAATAAATTGCCTTTAATTGAGTAAGACTGACTGGATTTTTATAATCTTCTAAGAAATGAGTCAGTAAAGGTACTATTTGTAAATTGTATTAGAAATTCTTTCTTTATTTTTCATGTAATATAATGTAATGACTTAATGGTGATTAGTCATTACATGTATGCGTACAGTGTACAAGTGTGTAAATAATTTGTTCACACAATGTGTTGTCCCATGTGGGGATCGGACCCACAACGTAGTAGTTCTAAGCGGCGAGGTGACCGCTTAAACCACTACGCCATCCGTGCAGTCAAATTAGGTTGGTGTAGTAAAAAAAAATAATGTTGGTGAGCTTTGTGTGAACTCGCCATAGGATTAGCAGTTAATCCGTCGTTCGGTGTGTCTTCGTTAGATGGCGCTGAAATGTTTTCGTTTCATTATATGTGTAAGAAGCCATACAGTTTTCCAAGTAGTTCAGCTTTACTATACTCAAATTTGCATTAAGACCTTTTGGGATAGCTAAGCTAAATACCAAGTTGAAGCTCTAGACTTTATCGACTCACTAAATTATAAGCGACGAAACAGCGATGTGCTAACGAATAGGGGACTAGGTACACTCTTGAACATCGACTTAAAGGCGCCTTGTAAGTTTTTATAGGATTCGTTCAGTTTCTTTGTTTCTCTGTTTTTTTTTCAACTATTCGTACTCGAAAGCAGTTATAAATTTGTTTATAAAGGTTATATTATAATAGCTTCTTTGTAGTTCGAGTGAGAGCCCGTATAGAGTATATAGTATAGTATATATGCAGAAGAAACAATGTGGGTTATCTAGCACATAGTCTTGCTGGAGTTCAGTATCTAGGACTACACCTAGGGAGTAGGAATAGAAAAAGGCGTGTTAAAAGAGGTGCCAACTCTGGAGCACGTCTTTAACAAGATAGGAGAGATTATTCGGGCCAGTCGAGGGAAAACCGTGTTTTAAGCACTGATTTTTGGGTGAACCGGCTTTAAAGCATACAGCTGTGGCACTGCGATATGGTACGTTATTCCCGTCATCCAAAGTGAAGTTTGATGCAGAGTTCGCCTACGAGATCGACTTTCTCCTATGCGTCATGGGCCAACGAATTATCTCCCATCTACAGGAATGCAAGGGATTGACTACAGAAATTCCCCTGGACAACCTTGGAAAAGACCAGAATGCACGTAGTAGTAAAGTCGAAAAAAACCGATCAATCGCTTTCAAGTAGGAAAATCTTCATTGACTATTTTCTAACCTTGCCGTGGATATTGCAACATTTTTCGAGACTACAGTTTAGCTTGTTGGACACTTGCCTCTTCAAAAATTTGCATTAAATGGAAACAAGCCCGAACTGCCTTACCGCCACAACGCGTGTGACAAAATGAAAAATATATTGTGATAAAATTATGGAGCAATTCAATCGTATTATGGTTGTGATTGAAAAAAAAAACACTGGAATTTTATCTCTGTATTAACACATATACATGCATGTACTAGGTTACTACTTAATATTATTATATATAATAACAACATAAGTAACAAATAATTGAAAAATTAAATAAACTTACAATTAAATCTTAAAATTGCCTATAAAATGTTCGCTTATCTACTGAATCCTTTTATGGAGTTTTGGAAAAATTTAATTTACTTGCAAGCGCTTAAAATTTCAGTGTAATGAGAAAAATATAAAGTGATGACTCCCTAGTTAAGAAGACGCCTAATGAAGGATTATTTATGTGTAACGTTGATATTACGCATAAAAATCTATTTTTGAACTCAAACAAAATTTCAAACATCCATTTCAAACTTAATTAGTAAAAATTCAATTATCATGACGGATACATATTTACACTTCACACATATAATTATTAACAATTATGCAGTACTATCTCCTGCATCTGATCCTGGTACCTTAACTAGTCACAGTGAGTTCCGCGTAGTCGAAATTAAGTCGTAAATAGGTTGTACTATGACATATAATAGCGTCATGCTCACAAATACAATCAAAGCAGTCGCTAATCCACCTTGTGGAGCCGCAAAGTAGTCCATAGTGAATCCTATTGCTATGGTTACTAGACCCATGGATACAGCAAAAATGCCGAGTGCCATATGTAGAATTTTGACGGGACCACTTTTGACCAATAAGCGTACTTTCGAAGAAAATAATGCGATGATGCCTGTGATAAAACTGACCATAGCAAAAACTAGCGCGATCACACCTGAAATAAAAAATATAATTCATTACTAATTACTGTATAAAGAGGAGTATAGATAAAATGTCACAGGGCGCTAAAAGTAGAAACCGGGGGGGTTAAGAGAACTCTAAGGGCGGCAACGCAACTTGTGACACTTAAGCTGTAGCTGTCTATGAGTGGAGGTAGTCACTTACCATCAGGTGACCCATAGGCTCGTTTACCCCCCCTGTATCATAAAAAAAATAGAGACCACGAACTGTTACTAGATGTTTATGTTTCGAAACTTGTTTTTTTTTATTTAAATTATTGGTGCTCATTCTGTTGTTCAAAAACTCGCTAAACTATACTAAAAACCGCTAAAATTAAGTTAAGTCCTGTCAAGTACTACGTTTTCAGAATACGTAACGTTGTTTGACATGACTGAACTAATTTTTAGTGTATTTTAGGTTAGTTTAGAGAGTTTTCGAATAACAGAATTAGCATCCCTCCCAGATTAACCCTGCAAAGGTCATCATCTTCATCATCGTCACACCTATGTAACGTCAGCTGGAGAACACGGTCCTATTTTTACGGAAACATAGACTCTTATCTAATTGCTAAACTAATGACGAAATGTATTTTAGACTCCCGTTGAAAGGAATTTGAAAAGTCCAAATAAATAGGGCCAAGTTCCTCCATATATTTTATTACTATTATTACGTACATGTCATCGGAAAGTTGAAAGTGAATTGTTTAGACACAATCAAAAGTATCGAGATAACGTTCGAGTAAAAATATTTTATAATAAACTAGCTGAACTAGCTGAAAGAATAAATTTACCCGTTTTTGCAACATTGTTTATTATTTCTGTGCTCCTATAGGTCTTGGACTAAAAAATCATTTTGTAGTGAACCTAATTGTGAATTGAACACACAAAACATTTCACCAAAATCGGTCCAGCCTTTTTAGGAGGAATTTAGTCACATACACACACACACACCCAGAAGAATTATATATATAAAGATTAACACGCCCCTATCTACCCTTTTCGTGATAAAGATGCGAGTGTGTAATGTACGTAAATATGTATAAAATAAACTTACCACATATGCCGTGAGGAGTCGTAATTGCCATATTAACATGAGACAGTCCAAGGAAGGTGCCTCCAATGACAAACATTGAGCCAATTAGCTGCAAGCACCCGTGAACTACCCGTTTGGAGTCTTTAGACATTTGGGATGACCATGAGTTATGCCTGTGGAGAGTCAAGATTGCTTCGACGAGAAATAGTTGGTACTGGAAAAGAATTGATAAATTAATTAATTACGTTACTCTAAAATTAGTTATTTTTATTAGGCATTCAAGTGGAACGATAATTAATGTTTCAATGCATTTGAGCTAAATCATGAGATGTTGTCCATGTGGGGTCCGAGGACTAATTACTGATATGTTTTAAATCTCTTTCGGTGTTGTGATGTGACTTTGAGGTATTTCGGAGACATTTTGCATGCTAGGAATACACTTCTTGCTCTGCATATGCAAATATGTATGGTTATGATCGGTTTCATAGATAAGGATTAAAATTTAGAATCATATTCATGACATTATAATTATTCTTAGTCAAGATTATAAAAAAAGTATTGTTTTTATATCAATGACGGGAATGTTACCCTTTTTTGCAGTAAACTGTTTGTTGGACATTAATAGAGTTTATGTTTATAGATTTTATATATTGCATTCATTTTATTAGTGCATTCACCGTTGTGTTTAGAGAGAACCTTTGATCCTACATCTTTGAATAGCTGAGATTTGCTGATAATTAAATTGTAGATGTCACTATTTTAAAGTTACAATCGTGGCTATCGTGCGTCGGTGGTGCAGTGGTAGCGTATGCGACCGCGACGACTGCTCGTATGCTGAGATCTTGGGTTCCATGCCCGGGTCGGACCAAATGTTTGTATGATCTGCAAGTATTTGTTTCGGAGTTTGGGTATGTATAATATGGTCGTATTTACAAAAAAGTATAAAAGTATTCTATCATCAGTAGTATCAGTCAATCTAGCTTTTATAGTTGTCGTTTTAAGCTCTGCTTAGTTTGAAACAAGATGGCGTTGTGTGACCGATGGTCCAATTTTTATTTATTTATCTAAAAGATCTTTCAACGTGAACACAAATACTAACATGGCTCATATTTTGCCCTTGCACATATGTAGGTCCCATATTTATTTATTTTTCAAAAAAGGTTACAGTTTTGAGAATTTTTTTCTGAAGAATAGATAAAGATTTCAAAACTGTTCTAAACTTGTTGAGATAAATAAACTTCACACAGACATTTTATCTCTACTATCAAAGAAGTGTATTTTACTTACTTCGAGTACTACTTCATAATATGCTTAGGCAAATCAGTTCGGTCAGTAAGTAAGTAAGTTATTTTAAGGAAGGTAACATTACCTACATTACAGCACTACCATTAAGACAAACGAAAGTGAACGATAACTTTTACATGAGTTATTAAACCAAATGTCATTTACGATTTGTAGTTAAAAAACGGCTACCTATTAGGTTATTACACTTTATTAGATTAGATTAGACTCTATTAGATATTTTTCTTTAATCTAGTTATCCGAGTTGAGTTGCAACACTTAAAAAGTTCGGTCTTCTGACTCTTTCATCTGTCATTTATGAAATTATCAAAACGCGGCTTTGATTATACAGGGTGAAAGTATAGTATGTGGAAAAGAAAATTTTAGGACCTTTTAAAGTTGAAAAAGAAAATTCATTTTTTCGTACAAAAGCGAGGGGTGCTTTTCAAGATAATTTGATAACTTCACTTTTACCAATACCTGTCAGTAAAATATTTACAAGACTGGATATCAAGCACCCAACGCAGTTTTACGATAAAATAATTTTTCTTTTTGAACTTTAGAAAAAAAAACTAGTTTTCAGTTCGGCTAGTACAAAAGCGCGTTTTTTTTTGTTTTTTAAGCTTTAATTTATGTGGTAGTACAGAACATAGTATCTTCAAGAACGTGACGTTAATACGGCGATAGTAGAGTTAAACTTTTTGAACAATTTCATCTTTGGAGCGCTTGCGCAAGGACTTTTCTTTCGCACAATACGAAGCTGCTCTCAAAATATGATGGTAATTTCTAGTCAGCGGCAATCACTGCTGCGGTAATTTACGTTCCACTCTATGCCTTAAAGAAAGAGTATTAAGGATAGTGCATACGTACGCCAGTTCCAGCAAAAATGATATGCAGTTGTAAATTGCTGATACTTCCATCAGGAGCTGAAGTTAATGCGAAGTGCCACACACAGTACACGATAATTGCGACTTGCATGTGGTGGAATAGGTTGAACAGTTGACAGATCGCGCGCCAAGCAGACTCCCACGATGAGTTGTACATATTCCCACTCTCTTCATCATATGCCGTGGGAGCTCTTGTCAACTCTGCTTGGTAAGGCACATGTTCTCGAACCTCGAACACTTCTACCTTATCCACAGAGTGCTGACTCGTACTTGGTCTATCCATCTCGTCAAACCACCACACCCCACAGACTTTGCAATATCCCAAAAACAATTTCTCACTGACACACGGTCACATGGAGTCCTCTCGGCTTCAGAACTGATTCGTCAGAGTTTGTCAAATATAGATAAACACAGTTAGCGTTATTAATGATAAGAAGAGAAAACTCGATTGATAGATCAGTTGTTATCGTTGGTGAATTGACAGTTTTAGGATTACGATCTTGCGCAACGTTAATGCGAGATATTAAAGTTATTCTTCAGATTATTTATACTTTTATCGCAGTCATTCTTTTAGGAATGTCGAAATTCTTTATACAGCTATAGGAGTGCTTGTTTGTGACCTACATTTTTGTGGACCGATGCTCAATCCATATGAATTACTTACATTATTTCTGTCTTCTGTAGCCTTTCCGTAGTTCATCTTGTTGCCTCTATTTTTTACAAATATGCCTGGTATTTGTTAGTGGGAGTAAAAGTAGAGCAGTAAGTAATTCATCAAATAAAAAAATAGAATTATACTGTAAATTTTGATGTTATAAACGTCATTAGTTACCTAAAAAATGATAGGTGAGGTAAGGTGAATACAACAAATAACAAAAAAAAAATACAACCCTGAACACAATCAAATACAACAAAATATTCTGAGATTAGAAGACAATTTGTAACATAGTTTCATAATAGTGTTTTTTTAGTGATACAAATTCTCTAATGTATAAATAAAATAGCAGCCTAAACGCTTGTTATTGGAAATAAGTATTTTGTCTTCCCGATAGACCAGTAGGTGCCCTGCAGAGGTGACACAAACAAAAGACGATGCAAATTTTGCATCAAATGACGTGACTCATTATCAAACACACAGTTCACATAATTTATGTCTACACAATTCTATTAAAATGTTATGTTGAATTTACATTTTTTTTGGGTCAGAGCGATATTAAATTCGAGATAGCACACCAAGGGCAGAAAGTTAGACATAGAGAAACGGATATTGAGTTAACCGAAGCAATAAGATTGGATAGGACAGCCAAAGTAAAAGCAATGTTTTTGTTTATCCTAAGAGTTCAAATTAAATCATCGTCGATGATCTCTCAAAATGGGGACGATGATGATTTTGAGTGCATCATCATTAGGTGTCACGAAGCATCAAGTGTGTGCCTCATAACAGGGTGCTTACAAGTGCTAAGGGTAACATCTTTTTTAATGATAGTCTTGCTAAAATTATTAAAGTATTTAATTATGTAGATACTTTATTATATTTATTATTAAGATTAAGAATACAGAATACTACGCAGAACAACAGCATTGCAAAAAGAAGGAAAACTTGAAATAAACCCTATACCAATCTGTCTGGCCAGCGTGGTATAGTCGCCGGTCCTTTTAAGGAGAGGTCTATAGGTTTATAAAGGCTGTTGATGGGAGTACTTTAATGTTTATTAGCAAGTTATCATCGTCTACTATTCATTAATCTATCCATTGACAAAATAGCTGCTGTTTAGATGGTGCAGGTGATTGTGGCTTATCATAACGTTATGAACAGTGTTTTAGCCTTCTATTAATGTAACAATCATTTATTTGTCGTATCACCTAAATTTAAAAGCACCTCTCTAACTGTCTCAGCCGGTAACTGAATCCCTGACATGGATGTATTAAGCTGAGTCACGAGGGTAAGGTCAAATTAGCATCGAAGAAGCTTGATGTGGTTAACAGATCGAGGCAGTATTTTACTTTACCCCACCGTCCGCAATTTTATAAGGCGCAAATCTGGCCGCTTATGGAATACTGTTTTTATCTCTATGAAGGAGCTCCCCAGTACCAGCTTCTCCCTCTGGACCGCACCCAACGAAGAGCGACTCAAATCGTCGATAGCTGGAAGATCTCCGATCGGCTTGATCACTAGGTGTTAGTGATGTACCTTTACTCTGCATTCTCTATCGTCTATATCACAAAGAGTGCTCCGAGGTATTGTTCGGTCCAATACCAGCTACAACTTTCTGCCTTAGTTCATTCCCCATCATTTGGATAATTGGCACTCTACCACTAAGCGCTTTACGAGAAACTTTTTGCCTCTCACAACCAATTTGTGAAACAAATTGAGACCTACGGTGTTTCCGGACCGATACGACCTTGAAACCTTCAAGAAAAGATTGTACTCCTTCCTTAAAGGCCGGTAATGCGCTTGTAACTCCTGAGTTGCAAGCTGCTGATATGCGGTAGTAGTCACTTTCCATCAGCTGCTGGTTTGCCCCGTGTTGCCCCCGACCCGGTTACAGAACACATCAGGGCTAAGTGTTGTTGTACATATAACGATGTGCTTCAACATTTTGCACACTTTTAAATTATGGAAATACTATATAGTTATTTGATTTTTGATATTTAAAATATTTGATTGGTTGTTATGCAGGTATCTAGATATCGTGTCTAAATTTTCATCTAAGGTATTCACTTCATATTAAAGATAAGATAAGATTTGAGACTTCAAGTGGTATATATATATATATAAGTATATGAAATACGAGTACACTGTATGTATATTTTTTTGGTTGTAGACTATATTCAATCTGTGTATCACTTGTTGTTTCTCTTTCTTTTTTTTCTTTCTTTCCTATTTCTTTATTTCCTACATTCGTCATCCCAATTTAACTTTTTCATTCGTCCAGCCCGAAAACGTTTTTATATTTCCAGGGTGCACATTAGGCAGGCGGACGGTCAAAACTATTAAGGTATTACATTAACCAAAACCTTTTACAGTACTATATTGCAAGTAGCTTAGATGCCTTTTATATTAAATGCGGCCTGCTTTCATCACACAAATTTTTACATATATTTTTCATATTTTAATAAAATAAGTGATTTTAAAATGTGAATTAGATCCGTTTTATGAGTGTTTTATAAAGCGTCTCTTTAAGTACCTAAGTATTTACTTTAATAATATACGTATCTCATCTATAAATCCCATGCCTTGAATACTTATACATTCGATATTAATAACATGTTGTTTAACAGTAAGAATTCAGATTAGTATTCTGCTGAGTTTGAAATTGAGATTTGTGTATTGTTGTGAATCTAGGCAAATGCGAATACAAAAGGTATACTGAACAGATATAAAAATAACTAATAAACTTTAATAATTGCTGATCATTTTTAAATAAATAAAGAAATTGAAAACATGTAATGGAAATTAATTTTGCTACTGAACACTAGATGTCAGTGGAAAATATTGACTTTAAGAATAATAGATGGCACCATTAGTACTGAAAGTTCGATGACTTCCCAACTGTGGAGTATTAAATTGATGAAATCAGAGTGGAACGAGAAAAGCATTATGGATGTTGACATTTTAATTTTACTCTTAGCCAAGGCATCAATAGATAGTACGAGTCAGACTCACTCACCGAGGGTTCCCTTCAAATTTGTAGGTACATAGTATGCTCTGAGCTTTTCCCGAAATTGAGTTTCCAAAACCTATAATTACTTGTTTTATTGTGTGTTATAAGTGAAATCGTACCTCGATGATTGATTCCGCACTTTGAATAAAGACTATTTTTTATGATTTAATTAAAAATGTTTTTATACAGATTTTGCCCTGTACTTGCCAAATTTCATAGTTCAAGGTCAACGGCAAAACCCTATAAATTTTGATTCCCTTAAGAGTGTCGAAATATGAGTTTTTGACATAAACTGCCGTATCTTTTATTTGTTTGTTTAAGGGACTGTAGACTTGAGTATATTATGGTTTAAATTTCAACTCGATACGCGTTCCCTAAATTATAAAACTTACTAAAATGTAATTTACATCAACAGCCTTTACTAGTCCACTGTTGGACATTAGCCTCTCCATAGAAAGGAGGTTTTGGCCTACTATACCACGCTGGCCAGACGGGTTGGTATAGGGTTTGTTTCAAGTTCCCCCGGGCCGGACGGGGTTCCAGCCCGAGTGATGGCCCGAGCCCTCGACTACATGTCGGACCACCTCAGGGGGGTGTTGGACGCTAGCCTGGCGTCCGGACGCTTCCCTGAGCGCTGGAAATGCGGGAAGCTGGTCCTGCTGCAGAAGCCGGGACGGCCTGCCGAATCGGGTGCGGCCTATAGGCCTATCGTTGTTGCTGGACGAGGCGGGTAAACTTTTTGAGAGGGTGCTCTCTGCCCGCATCGTCCGGCACCTTTGCGAGGTTGGCCCCGATCTGTCGGACGCCCAATTCGGTTTCCGAGCGGGGCGTTCGACGATCGATGCCGTAATGCGCCTTAGGGCCGTGACCGAGGAGTGGAGTGGGAGTGGTGTTGGCGGTGTCCTTGGACATCGCCAACGCCTTCAATAGTCTGCCATTCAGCTGCATCAGGGAAGCGCTCCGCTACCACGGAGTGCCAGAGTACCTGAGGCGGCTGGTGGCAGATTATCTTGAGGAGCGAACCGTCATGTACGAGGACCGAAATGGCGTCTTGAGACGCAGGGCCATGTCGTGCGGTGTTCCGCAGAGGTCTGTCCTAGGACCTCTCCTGTGGAACATCGGGTACGACTGGGCCCTACGAGGGCGTCTCCCCCCCGGGCTGGGTGTAATCTTCTACGCGGATGACACCTTACTCACGGCCCGGGGGGCTAACTTCCAGGAGGCGGCGCGCCTGGCCGCCACGGGAGTTTCCCAGGTGGTCGGGCGCATTGAGGCGTTGGGATTACGGGTGGCCCTGGATAAGACGGAGGCCCTATTATTTCATGGGCCCCGTCGTGGTCCACCCGCCGGCGCATCAATCGAGGTCGGCTCGGTCCTCGTACCGGTCCGGGCCCAGATGAGGTACCTGGGTCTGGTCCTAGACGGTAGGTGGCTCTTCGACGAGCACTTCCGACAGCTTGGTCCGAAGCTGGTGGACACTGCCTCCGCCCTAGGGCGACTTTTGCCCAATTTGGGCGGGGCCAGTGTTCCCACGAGGCGGCTGTACGCGGGGGTTGTCCGGTCCATGGCGCTTTATGGTGCACCGGTGTGGGTGGCGGCTCTGACCGCCCCGAATAGG